ATTAGAGTATGAGTCTGGACTCTGGAGGGTGAAACTTACATGAGACAGTTCAGCATCTTTGGTGACGCACCCTTGTCTACCCGGAACTCACCATTCACTAGGTAATCAGGTTCCTTGATCACTGGAAATACTCCGCCTCCAATTCTCACCATCCACAAGAACCTAAACCAGATTTTTCAATTAAGGAGGATCAGTGAAACCACACATCAACTGAATCAAGAAAGTTTCATTACGACCCACCAAGAATTGGAAAGCTGTTAAAAGGTATTAACGCACAAGTTAATCATCATTGGTATTATGGGATTGGGGATGCATGTTATAACAACCAAATCTCGTTGGACTCAAACCGATTGCAACAACTCAACAGGTTGAATCCAGTCATCCACCCAGAACAGCTAGCTTCTAATTCACCAACCAATTCCACATCAGGTTAATAGGGATTTACTCAATACTAGCCCAATCATTTACCACTACTAGTCCAAACCAATTAGCACAAACCCACAATTGTATAACTGAGAAGGTAGCCAGATAAGTCAAAATTTCAGAAAAGAAAAATATTTGTTTAACAAGGCACCAATTAATGCCATTTTTGGCAGACACACAACAATAACCAGATTTTCAGTAATAAACTAGAAGAGAAACATATATGAGGAAAGTAAAAGACTTACTTGTTAATATCATCTGAAGAATAACCAGTAACGCCACCAAAGACAACCAATACATAGTTCACATCAAGTGACCTCATGATGTCATATGCCTCGTCTTCATAAGAAGACATGGCTCGTCCAACAGTAGCAATATGAGTGTTGTTCCAGGTGTTGTTGTCAACGATGACGGTTCTATTTCCCATGGCAGTGATTTGGTATCCATAGTCCCACCACGACATGATCTTAGCATCAGTGGGAGTGTTTTGCCTAAGCCAGTAGTAGGCCTCACGGTAATCATCAAAGATGATTCTGTTCCCGTGAGCTCCTCTTGCAGCTAGGACAATTGAAGGAGATGAATATGCCTCTGATGTCACCCATGTGCAGTGAATAGCATATCTACTAAGCAAATAAAATACACCAAGAAGAAGAGCAATAGCACCATTCTTCTGGAAAGGTTGAGACTGATCAAGTGAAACCTGCTAGGACACAGGAGACAAGTATCAGATTTTTTCCTTTCACCAGAGAAGCATGCTATTGCTAGGTGGCAAGTGATACAATAGTTTAAACCAAAAAAAAATGAAAAATTGGTGGAAACAGGGACAATAAAGATTCACCTTCGAAGAGGCTTTTGAACTACCGGCTCCTTTCGTGGAACCAGCCAGGGGAACCTTTTGTTTCGTCCTTAGTAGAGAAGTTAAATTCTTGACAGTGGCAGAGACAGCTATGGCACTGATAAGGCAAACTGCTGGGGTGGCGACGAGAATAAGCCGGACCATGACACCAGCAAAGTACAAGCTAGTGAGACCATACATGACGATAAATATTGTAGCATCCGACAAGCGCTTGAAACAGAAGTAAAGTCCCGCAGGGAAAAGGAAGAGCAAAATATGGTAGTCAAACATGAAAGACGACCAGGCCGTTGGCTGATGCTCAGAAACAGACGCAATAATGGGAATGTGATCCTTTGCATAAGTCGGGTCAAGCAATGAGTAAAATCGACCAGTCCATGGAGATATATAGCCAGACGCTGTTCCTACACCCAGAGCAATACTACCAACCAGAACAGCCGATGTCACAGTTATCTTCAAAAAGGTTTGGAACAACTTAGTGTCATTGAGCTGATACTTCACCCAGTCGAGGAAGTAAAACACCTGTACAAGTACATCAAATCTAGTAAAGATCAAGAAACCCAATTACAATGCTTAACACTAGAGATACAAGCAACAATATTTCATAATCTATGTAATAGAAAAAGAACAAACCTGCATCAATAAGAAGACTCCCATTGCACCCATATGTTCTCCAGATTGAACATGTTGAAAACCGACAAACCGAATTTGCATCGCAAGGAGCATTCCCAAGATATACATACAGTTATAAGCTATGTAAAGCCTCATCGAATACCTTCCAGTAATCAACAACACCAAGACATAAAGCGGAATCAAGTTAATAATAAACACATAGCCTCCCCAAGCAGAAACCATGTAAAAGTAACCAAACGCAGAGCCAAGAGCCCATGCCAATGATCCAGTATTCACCGCCTTAACAAAGAGATAAAACGTCAACAAAAGAGCGAAAATTGCGACCGCTTCGTTATCATACGATCCAGCGACGGACCGAGAAATGTAACCAGGGCAAATTGCAATCAGAGCAGCAGCAACAAGCCCAGCTCCTGTATCCCAAATCTCTTTACCAAAGAAATACGCAACGAGTGTGGTATTGGAGGCGAAAAACGGTGCGGTTAACACACAAACCTCACGGATGTGAACGAAGAATCGAAGAAACCGAAGTGTCCAGTAGATTAGAGCGGCGGTGACCATGAGACCGGGATAAAGCGTACCGCCGATGATCCGACCAAGAGGATACCAACTCTCTGAATCGAACCAGTTCCAAAACTCGTAGAAGCCTTTCTCAGTAAGGAAAAGGGTAGTACGGTAGTTGAAATACGGATCGAATTCGTGGATCATGGATTCGTATCGGAGAACACTGAAGAGACGAGCGATGAAAGCTAAGACGTAGACGAGACCGAGGATCGAGACACGGATCAGGAGTTCTTGCTGCTTCGTCTTCAATTTTAGGGATTTGAAAGAGAAACTGTTCAACAGATCTGGATTCGCCTTCGTCGCCATGGATTCCGATTTCGCGGTCGCATTTGCCGAGTCTTGTTTTCCTCCCATTGTAGAAACGGGGAAAAGAGAACGATCTCCGACTGGGTTTTGGTCTGAGTCAACTCGTCTGAGTCAACTCGTCGTATATTGAGAGTGGAGAGTTGTTTAACCTCTGAGA